AAAGCCAGCCAACCTACACCTGGATTGGTTAACCCCACCAACTTCTGGGTTCCCAAGGAATAAAAACCCCTAAGCCCCATGTTGGGCACACAGAACCTGGGACCCTATTGCAGTGTTCCCGCCATCTGCAGAGCCTCGATAAATCTGCCTCTGCTTTTATCAATGTCCCTGGTCCAAATTCTTTTGTATCAGGAAACAAGAACCTAAACTCATCCATAACACAAGGACGCCAAAGTCTTCAGGCTCTTGGGGAGCCCAGGACAAGCTTTTGGGTATGTATTAATGCAAATAAATGCACGTACTTCATCAGCTGATCTCACCTCTCAAAGGTAAAGTGCTAGGAAGAGCATCACATAAGTGACAACTCCCCACGTGAATGAAAGGATTGTGCAACAGCAGCAGGCCTAAAATAGAACCCTGGCATCCAAAAACATTCTCCTTATGCTTACTCCTAAGTAAAAGCAAAAGCAAAAGCAAGGATCAAAGAGGGTTTTGTCATTTCTAAAGGAGGTGAAGTTGGCATGCAGTACTTTCTAAATGCAGGAACAAGGCCAGTACTAAACAAATAAACAAACAGCCCAGTTATAAACCACCAGCAGGTTTTTATCAGGACAAGATTTCTTCAGGGCCCTCTGTGAGCCGGCCCCCGCCTTTGGGGGAAGAATCTCCTTTCCAGAGATCTTTGTAATCAGTAAAATTAGCATCAGAAAAAGCCACATGCAAAATTTCATAGTTAAGCGTAAAACTTAGTTTTGTTTAGAACTTTATCCAAATAAACAAAAAATCAAAATGTCTATTTTAAAAGCAATAGTAGCCCAGCCATTGTGGCTCACCAGTTGAGCATTTGTCTTTTTGCATCTAAGATAATATACCTTTGCAATATCAAAGTAATTTCATTTTTTCTGGACCCCTCAAAGCACAACCAGCACCAGAGCAGACCACAAATTCCCTCATGGTTATTATCATGTTAATTGTTAACTGTTAACTATCCCATACCCACCTATGTAAAAGAAGTGTGTGACTATCATTTTACTTTTTATCCAATCCCAGAGGTTTCCCTGCTTTGCTTTCTCCCACCTCCCTAATCTGCCACCAGTGGATTTCATGTAACCCCTTACAATAGTCCCCTTTGATTCTGATGTATAAGTGGTAAAACTGCCATTTTCTGGAGCATTTTCTCATTCCATTGAGATTTTGCTTCCTAGAAATTGTCATTAGTTTGGCTCAAATAAACTCCTTAAAATTTTCACAGGTTTGGATGTTTCTTATGTTGACAAAGGCAAACACCCAATGCCAATAGCCAAATAGCCACAGCTTCTGTAAAACTGCCTAAGAGCTATGGACCCCTAGAAGAAAGTCATTTGATGTGAACTCTGAAAAGGAATTTATTTACTGAGATGGACTCCCCATGGTCAACCAAGGGCCAAATTTTATAAATACGGGCCTAGTAGACATTTGCAGACAGGGGCTCCTCACACTCTGTATACCAGGAAGAAATTCACTGATCTCTTTGTGGCAGGACAGTAAGAAGCCAGGAAAATTCCTTGGCAAGTGGAAGGGGAAACTGGGATAAGACAATTAAACAAGGCCGAACAGTTTGAGCAGCTTGTGAATCGAAAGTTCTTATCTTCCCCAACCTAGGACAATTGAAAGTACATGGTTAATAACGCTCCTCCCTAACGAGATAATACAGGAAAGAAGGGAGAGTTTTATCTCACCTACTGAACTAAGAAGTCAGCAGTCTTGGAACTTTCCAAGGTAAAATTGCCAGATGTTCTAATAAATTCTGGAACAGTTACAAAAAAGTAAAAGGGGGACCTTGAAATCTAGTCTGTTGCCCAAGATATCCAGCAGAGGAACCTTGAAACCCATAGACAGAAAAGTACAAAATCCCTAAACTTCTACCAGGTGGGGCACTCAGACTAGCTGGATGCCCGCTTATGCTACATGCCACGTGTATTTTTAATGAATTTGCTTGCTTTGCTACAATGCTATTGTCTGTCACTCATCTGAAAACTTTCTTAGCAGACTGATAAGAGCGGAGGAGGGGACAGCCCTCTCTCTCCCTCCAATTCAGGGGACTGTCTCATAACATCTTGACTTCCCACACTATGCCCCTATTATTTACATTGCCTGAGTCAGTAACACAAGGGAAACCCAGGTTTCTTCCTTCTACCAAAGGAAGGAGACCTGCCCTGTCCAATCAGAACTGCACAATTTGGAAACCTCATTTGCATAAAAGAGGGAACTTGGGCAGGAACTTTCTCTCTAAAAGTTGGCCTCCCCTTTGTCTCAGTGGAACACAATTTAGGTTGCTACCTGAATCTGTGTCTCCGGAACTGCAGCTCCTTTTGCTCAAGTAAATGCTTTTAATTCTTTATTACAGCCTAAAATTAATTTTGGTTTACAACTTGCTGTTACTTCAGGTAATTATTTAACAAAAAGAGGATCCCAACCTATGGCAGTGTAAGAACCTCTGTCCACACCTTCCGAAGGCTGCCTCATTCCCCTAAGTTAGCATTTGCCTGGTGCTGCTCCAAATACATCCTTCCACAGACAGCAACATCCTACATGACTTCTGGGATCAGGGAGCCTGGGATATAATCAAGAGAGTTTCTGAGGATCTGGTTTAGGAGAGTATCTTCTTCTTTGAAGAGTCAACAGCACTCAAGGTCGGAGAGGATTTTCGTTTGCAAAAATTATGTCTAGATTAGGGTTTCTCAACAATGGCACAACTGACATTTTGGGCCAAATAGTTATTTGTTTTGGGGGTTGTCCTACTCATTGGATACTTAATAGCACCAGCGGCCTCTACCCACTGGATGCCATCCCCAAGTTGTGACAAGCAAAAATGTCTCCAGATGCTGCCATATGACCCCAGCAGGCAAAGTTGCCCTCATTTGAGAGCCCTTCTAGAGGAAATGAGCCCACTCAATTCCAATCCTGGATTTATTACCAAAGTAAACTGACAAGGAACATTTTTAGCCACTCACTGTATCTACTTGAAACACTGTCTTCTAATCCTCAGGGCTTTTAAAAATTATTATTATTTTTTAATCCTCACCTGAAGATATTTTTTCCATTGCTTTTTGGGGCCGGAGGGGGGGGGAGGGAGAGACAAGGAGAGAAAGAGAAGCATTGATTTGAGAGAGAGAGACATTGATTGGTTGCCTCCTACACGCACGCACCCTGACAGGACCAGGGATGGAGCCCACAACTGAGGTACATGCCCTTGGCAGGAATCGAACCTGGGATCCTTCAGTCCGCAGGCCAACACTCTAACCACTTAGCCAAACCAGCTAGGGCAGGGCATTTTTTTTTTTTTTTTT